TGGGCTGTTCTTTCTACTACCCCATTCTCCTTCCCTCTGAGCAAGGTCTGGGAGAGGAAAGGCTGAAGGAGCCACCTCTGTGGGGTGTTTGCAGTGACATGAGGGTGCCTGGGGCTCCTTGGTGCCATGCTGGCCCCTCTGTACCGGGGCACAGCCTTGCCACGCCAGCAGCCACATCACACCACTGTCCCCAGGAGCTGCCACCATGCCCTGACTGGGATGGGACCAAAAGGACCCTCCAGCTGCCTTGAGCCTTCTGGAAAGATCTTTACAGGTGTCTCCCAGTGGCTCAGCTGGGGACTGGATCCAAGGGAGGAGTGCCCAGGGCTGAGTGTGAGGTGAGCTGGGGATCCCAGGTGCCAGATCACTTCTCTCTGAGCTGCAGCCAGGCCAGGAAAATCTGTGGCCAAAGTGAATCCTGGCAGTCCCAAATCCCAGCTCTGGGATGTTTGTACTTCTGCCAGCTCCCCACACGTGGAGGCTTAGAAGGGACCTCTCTGATGAGGACCAGAGACCACCCACCTCATCCCAGCCACCTGCCCCACTCCACGTGCCAGGGCTAAGGTCACCTCTTCATCTTTCATCCCCATCTCCCTCACCCAGTGCCTTTCCCACCTCCCTCACCCTCTCTTGCCCCTCAGGACCACTAAGCCCACGATCCCCCAGTGCTGGGTGCTTGTTCAGCTGGCTGGAGGAGCAGGCAGGGCAACTGCTGGGTGGTCAGAGCAGGGGCTACAACCCCTTCTTCCTGCTCTGCAGCTGGAACTGCAGGGCTGGGAGGTGGGGTGGGGAATGGGACCAGTCTGCTGCATGAACTGGGTGAATTTAACCCTTCCAGGTCTATGCAAAATCAGAGCCTTCTGTAGAGCCAGCCTTTCCCAGCCCCCTCCCTGGGAGCAGGGGGTAATTCAGAGGAGCAATCGTAGCCCTAAAACCATTCCTCACCTTCCAAACCCAAACACCTCCTGCCTGCAGGGTGCCCACATTGCTGCCAAACCAGAACTCCTGGGTGCTTGCTGTATTCCCTTCCTAAATCTCTAACAGCACAATTTATTCAATATATCTGGCATTTAAAAAAATGGGATCGCTCCTGTTAATCGCTCTGCAGATAGAGCCAGAGGTGACCTGGGGGCTGTCACAGCCTTGTACTCAGGCACAGGTGGAGGAGTGGGCTCCAGGCAGAGGCTGCTGCCCACCCCAAGGCGTGAGGGGTGAGTGGGTGCCCTGGAATAAAACACAGAAGCAACAGGAGGAGGGCAAAGCTGATAAAAATGCCCAGAGCAGCTGTGGCAGAGTGGGCAACGCGGTGACACCGCAATTGGCTGTCACTTATTTTGAGGCTCAGCATCTCTGGCTTGTTTAAGAAACCTTGTTTTTCTGTCCCAAGAGCCCTCTCAGGAGCTGAACTGTTTGTGCAGCCCAAAAGTCTCTGAGCTGCTGCCAGCAGGGATGCAGGACAGACCCCTTGTGAGGAGTGGGGCTGCTGGCCTTTGGGCTGAAAAGGTCTGATTTAAAGGTGGGAGGAAGAAAGAGACTGTCCTGTGTCTCTGGCTCATACAGGGAGCAGTTCATGAGTTGATCCCCACTCTTGGGAGCTCATCCCTGGGCTGGAGAGCAGGAGAGGAGAGGGCACACAGCTGGTGTGGGTGCTGCCAGGGCAGTGGGGCTGTCTCTGTGCAGGCAGAGAGCTGAGCTCTTTGTTCATCCCTGCTTCGAAGCAATGAGAGAAAAACACTCCTGCCGAGTGCATCCAGAAATAACCCAGGCCTCCAGCAGCCAAAAAGCTTCCAAGGGGGAATTTTAAAGTGCTGGGAATTTGGCCTCTCAGCTTGTGCTTGAGGCTCCTCTGCTGTTACAGTGTCCCAGGCAGGGAAAGGCAGCCCCTGGACACAGCCCTGCTCCTGGGGGCCAGGAAACCTCACCTCAACAGGGAACAGGGAACAGTTCACTCCTGGGTCACCCAGAGGCCCTCTCAAGGTCCTCTTTTCACCCCAGTCTTTTCCAGCACCACCATCACAGCTCCTGCCTGGAAAGGACACTGGTGATGGGCACTTTCCATGTGGGATGTGCTTCAGGGGTCATGGTGCCCCAAAATACCTCAAGAGCCCCTCACTTTGCTGCACCCCTGAAATGAGGCCTCCTTCAGGGGCAGCCCTGTTGCTGGTGTGGCCAGGGTTTGGGAATCTGGAAGGGGCATGCAATAAGGATGAGAGGTTCCATTGCCTGCAGAAGGGAGGAGCTGGGGGCATTTAAAACCAGGCCTTCCCTGTCTCTGGAAATGACAGCAGATTCCTGCACCATCCATATGGGATTTGAGTCACGTCGTGAAGAGAACGATCCCTCCCGTGACACATGTCAGAGGCTGCAGGGAAGATAATGTTGCTTCATTGCTCTGGCCCCACTGTTTGTTCACCCACGGGGATCTCCTGGCCAGCTTTTCCATGTGTCAGCATCTCCTCAGCACCCCAGAGCAAGGGCATGGTGTGGCAGATGCTCCACGGAGGGACAGACACCTTGTCATGGAGCAGCAGCTCTGCTCCAGCTCCATCCCTTCACCTGGGGCTCTAACCCAGCACATCTCTCAACTTCCAGCATCCACAGACAGGCTGCAGCTTCTGGGAACCTTCTGTGCCCCTGATCTGATCCTGCATGCCCCAAAGTGCCCCTCTGGGGCAGGACACCCACAGGGGATGACCCGAGTGCTCTGGGCACACGCAGGAGCTCGCTGGAGATGCGTCGGCTTGGCAGGGCAGATCCCCTGATGGATACAGGATCATCTGTTTATTTTAAGTTTTACAGGGGGCATTTTCCCTTGCCAGGAGTTGGAGAATAGAGGGCCTGGGTACCATCTGCCCAGGGGACTGGTGAATCATCCTATTTTCCAGTTAACAGCACTTGTTTGCTTTGGGAGATCTCCAAGTTAAGGGGGAAGAAAAAGAAAACCCAGCTCATGGATCTTTTCCCACACAATAAGAAAAATGCCTTGTTTTCTTTTTTTTTTTTTTTCTTTTTTTTTCCCAAAAGCCAGTGTCACCTCTGCTTTTACTTAGCAGTGGGCTGGATAAAAATAGACAGTGAAGTCATGACGCCTTCGGAAGAACCAGGTATGGCCTGGGGAGAGGGGGTGAGAGGAGACAGGCTTTGGGGACAGGGACAAAATCCAGCATGATGCAGCAGGGTCTGTCCCTGGAGAGCTGCTGGTTAGCCCAGAGTCTTGTGATTTCCCTGGCACTGCTGGGAGGGGCAGGAGCCTCTCTGGTGGATGCTCCAGAGTTCAAGCTGCTGGGATGGGGCTGCAGCCCGGAGAACACCAGGAGATCAGCTCTGTGCAGAGCCGAGGCTCTCGGAGCTGGAGGCACTCTGGGAAACAAGGGGAAGCAGCAGGGAATGGAAGCCAAAGGGTTGTGCTCCTGCTTTCTCCAGGACCATATTGCTGCTGCCTTCTCTCCTAGTTTTCTGCTCAGATCTCTCTGTTCCTCCTGTTTGATCGCCTTGCCAGGCTGAGAGCACGCTGGGCTCCTTGGAAGGAGCGTGCCTGGCAGAGACTTTGATGTCTCCTGCTCAGGGCAGGGGCCCTGGAAGCCACTTGGACACCTGGAGCACGAGGAGATGCAGCTGGTGCTCATTTTTTGGTTCTGCTGGTGGGGTGTCCTGTGGCAAAACCTTCCTGGGGCTGCTGATGCAGAGCTGGGGCACATCCTGAGCTCAGCCAGGGCTGGGGTGGCTGCAAATAAAGATCCTCTGAGGCAGAATCTCTTGTATTTCTCCACCACAGGACAAATGAGGGATGTAAAGGCAACTTTCCAGCCACAGAAATGGATGTGAGATACCACAGAAATGCTGAGCCCCTCTGTAGGCCTGTTTGTCTCAGGTGTGTCTTGGTTGAGCGCTGAAGAAGACCCCAAATCGCTGGCTGTGGTGTCCCTCTGTCACCACAAAGCTCTGGTGCTGTCCTGCCAAAGCCACTGCCCCAGCTTTGGACCTTTCCTACCAAGCACCTGCTTAGGTCACGACTGAAATGAGTTTGGCTGGCCCCAGCACGCCCTTCCACAGGTATTTCTGCACATGCTTGGAAGCACCATGGAAGCTGCAGGGAGATGCCAATTTTACATAGCAAAAAGCTGCTGCCCAGCAGGAACGCTGGGCCCTGCCAGGACCAGGGGAGATGGAGCTTCAGGCTTTATATTTTCAGGATATAATGTGAGGGTGTTGTTTTGCCCTTCTTCTTAAACAAATTAAAACTTTAAAGGAAAAAAGTAATTCCTGTGGAAACTTTATCCTCGCCCCACAATGAAGGAACCTTCTATCAACAAGAAAATTCACATTTTAGGGGAAAAAAACATGTCCTTTTCTCTCCCAGCTGCTCCTGAGCCATGGTTTCTCTGCAGCAGGAGGCTGGAGAGGCGCGAGGGGAATATCTGCATTTCTGTGGGATCAGTGACTGGAACGGGCATTATCGCTGCAGCGATGGGCTCAGCCCGGGCCGGCCGTGCCAGGGCGGCTCCGCCGCTGCGCTCCCGGGTTTATTTAAACCCGGGTTTATTTCTGTCCGGCCTCGGAGCGGGGGTGGCGGAGATCAGGTGACAGTGCCCGAGGAGCGCTGGCATCGCCTGTCCTGCCACCGTGCCTGCACATGTCCGGGGGAGCAGGCAGGGATGAGGGACAGGGAGCAGGCAGGGATGAGGGAACAGGGGTGAGGGAACAAGCAGGGATGAGGGAACAGGGAGCAGGGGACAAGGATGAAGGGACAGGGATGAACAGACAGGGAGCAGGCAGGGATGAGGGAACAGGGGTGAGGGAACAAGCAGGGATGAGGGAACAGGGAGCAGGGGACAAGGATGAAGGGACAGGGATGAGGGACAGGGATGAGGGGACAGGGAGCAGGCAGGGATGAGGAGCAGGGATGAGGGACCGGGATGAGGGGATGGAGCAGACAGGGAGCAGGGAGCAGACAGGGATGAGGGAGCAGGGCTGGGCGGGCAGGGATGAGGGAGCAGGAGCAGGCAGGAATGAGGGAACAGGATGAGGGACAGGGAGCAGGCGGGGAGCAGACAGGGATGAGGGAGCAGGAGCAGGCAGGTATGAGGGGACAGGGCTGGGCAGGCAGGGTGGCTGCTCCTCCTCACGGATCCTTTCTCTTGGATGAGCCTGCCCTGGAGGCCCCAGCAGGAGAGGGGATGCTCCTGCAGTGTGGGAACCACGGATGCTCCCACTTGAGCTGGCTTAGGGCTTTGCAGTCCAGTCTGGGGCATCAAAGCAGTGGCTGTGCTTTGGTACTGGGATAGGAGCTGGAAACCAGTTTGTGACAGAGCTGAGCCATGGGCATTCAGGAGGGGACCAAGGATACAGAAAGGAGCGTGGTGGAGCCAGGGAAGCCCAGCTCCCAGGAACCACTGCAATGCTTCCATCTCTGAGCCTGCCTCTTTTTCCATATGGTTTCCACACTGGGTTGTGTTTGAGCAGCGCCAGAGAGCCCAGTTCATTCCTGGTGCTGTCCCAGAAGAACAGCCAGCCTGGCAGATGTGGCTGTGATAAACTCTGAGCTGACTAATTTGGCAAGCCAGTCAAATCTGCCAATGTCCTTGGCAACACAGGAGCACCTTTCCAACAAGAATCCATTCTGGATCCATCCCCAGCCTCAGCAGAGGTGAGTGTGGCAAGGCCAGAGGGTTCAGCCCCTGCTTTCTCCAGCACCTGAAAATAATCTGCAGCACTGGAGAGTTTTATTTCCCAAGGGGCTGAGAAAAGAGAGGAGCCTGGAGTTAATCAAAGTCTGGGAAGTGTGTGGGAGCAGCTGTGACTGGAGAAAGCTCACAGGGTCTGTGCTGGGGAGGGAGCAGAGCTGCACTGGGGTCTGGGGGCACAGGGTGCAGGGGGATGGGGTCTGTTCAGAGAGTGGCTCTGTGGGAGCACAGGAACATTAATTTCTCAGGTATGGGATGAGGAAGAGGCACCAGGGTGCTGTGCCCCAGCTGGGGGTGCAGGCATGTGTGGCATCACACGTGTGATCACTGTTCAGAGGCCTGAGCAGCATCACACAGCCCCGGTGCTGTGACCCAACACACAAGTCCAGCCTGACCTCAGTGGGAGCCAAGTGCTCTGTGGCAGAGGCTGGGAGTCTCCCTGAGCCTGGGGCTGTGGTCTGGGAGCCACACACTGCAAACACCCCCCCTTTGCAGGCCATCCTGCAAAGAATCCCCTTTTATATAAATCCCAGCACATGATGCCAGAGTGACAGGAGCCTACCCTGCCCCAGCAGGTCATTTCAGGCTTGGCTGAGCTTCTTTCCTCCTGAGGGGATGTTTGCCAGCATCTCGGAAATGGCACTGGTGGGATCTGCAGCCCCAGCACTGCACTGTCAGCCGAGGACCTGCAGCTTGGAGCAGCAAATCCCTCCTGCAGCAGGATAAGGATGGATGATGTGGGAGCATGTGGAAATCTGGCAATGGATTCATTGAGCCTAACACAGCTTTCCAAAGGTCTGACCCTTTGTCTCCCTGGATCCCTGGGAGTGTGTGGACATCTCTGATGCTGAGATCAAAGAGCCTGTGCTCATCCAGAGGACTGGAAGCACGTGGTGGAAGGGATGCAGGCACAAAGCACTCTGCACTCTCAGCACAACCCTTCCCTTGCTGTGTGGACAAAGCACACACACACACAAGAGCAGTAAAGCTATGGGTAGCACCTGTCCGTTTTCCAGAGGGGAAAACTTCCAGACTGCTCTGCTGGGTGATATTCTGCAGACATTTAGCAGGAGCTAAATCCAGCTGGGATTTAGCAAGGTCTGATGCCTCCCCCACTCTCTGGACTGTCACAGTCAAGGCAACGTGTCTTCCTGGGCTGATCAGGGAAAGTGTCAGGGACCTCACAGCCAACACTGACAGGCCAGGGCTTCTCTCACTCTGCTGTGTTTCACTAATTGCACCTCTCCCTAATTAAAAATCAGTGATGTGGCTTTGGCAGCTGCAAGTGAGGTCCCCCAGGCGAGCCCGGGGCAGAGGTTGGGAGGTGGAGAAGGAATGGAGCCATCCTGGAGTCTGGTACATCCCCTGCCATGGTCGGGTGCTGCAGAGGAGCCAAACATCCAGGAGAGTCCTCCTGAGGAGGCACAAAATCAGAGCCCACCTTGCCAGAGACGTGGGGCAGCCGAGGGTGTCCTGGGCTGTGGTTGAGCAGGTGTAAAATGCTCCGTGCCAGCTGCAAAGTCCCTTTCCAGGTGACAGTGGTGGCTCCAGTGCCACGTGGAGCTGGCAGCTGGGGCTCTGCAGCAGAGGCAGCAAACGCAGGGTGCTCTGGTGAGCTGGGCACTCTCTGCCTCTCCCAGGGGACAGGAAGGGCCAACTCACTGCCAGGCACTTAAAATCAGACAAAATAAAAGCTGGATGATCTATAGTGCACGTTCCTCTTGGCTTGTTGGTTGCTGTTCTATCAGCTCTTTTTCCTTCCTTATTTCCACACAAGGAAAAGAGTTTTGTTTCAGGTGTCTTCCCACGGGATAACAGCCTCTCCAAGCAAACTCACCCTGGGTGAAAGCAGGAGGAGCAGCCAGTCAGCAGCACCAATGCACAATGTCAGCAGCTCCAGGGTGATTTCATTAACGAGCTCCTGTGCTCTCGCTGCATCAGTGCAGGCTCACAGGCAGCAGAGAGTGTTCCAGTCCCCTGCCACCTTCCACTAGGCCAGGCTGCTCCAAGCTCCATCCAACCTGGCCTTTTCATACTTGTACCTGCCCAGTTTGGAAATCCATGGCTGAGGGGGGTGTCTGTCTGTCGGGATGTCAGATAAGGACAGGACAGGTGATGCTTTTGTTACCCAGGGAGCTCTAAGTGGGTCCTACAGCTCACCTAGGGGCTGCTACAGTGAGGTCTTGGCAGAGGGTGAGCTGCACAGCAGCCATTTCAAGGGATGAAACAGGGAGGGTCTAGGAGAGGCAGGACACTCTAATCTCTGCTGGACATGGAAATCTTCCAGGAAATGGTGAGCAGAATTTGGAGAGTGGCTGGAAGCCTTCAGTGTGGTGGTCTACAAGAGAGCTGGAGAGGGACTTTGGGCCTGGAATGACAGGACAAGAGCAAATGGCTTCAAACTAACAATGGGCAGGGTTAGTTGGGATATTGGAAAGAAATTCTTGACTGTGAGACCCTGGCAGAGGTAGCCAGAGGAGCTGTGGCTGCCCAGGCAGTGTCCAAGGCCAGGCTGGATAGGGCTGGTCCAGTGTAAGGTGTCCCTGCCCATGGCAGGGGGTTGGAACGAGATGATTTTTAAGGTCCCTTCCAACCCAAATCTCCCCAGGGAAACAGGGAGGATGGTGCCCAGCTCCCCTCTCTGGCCCACAGCCAGGGAGGACTTGCAGATGGAAAGCTCCTGGCTGGAGCTGGCTGCTGCTGATGGGCTAATAATACCCCTGGGAGAAGGTCAGGTGGGCAGCAGCACGGGCAGCTCCCATTTCAGCCTGCCACACATCACCCTCAGCTGCCAGAGCCTCCAGAAAATTTTGGGATGTCTTAGAGGAGAGCTGGCAGTGCCACCCTCTTCCATTGGTGGATTTCCAGGGGGATGGCAGCAGGTGGCTGCCAGTGGTTACCTGCACCATGGCACAGAGAATTTAACCCCCAGCACCATCCCTTCCCTGCATCCCCCAGGTCACTACAGCCTCCCCTGCTTCCCCATCCTAGCAGGAGCTGGCTGCCACCGGGCAGGCCACCGTGCTGTCCCACGGCCACAAATGTCCCAGCAGAGAGGGTTTTTCTTGCTGAAAAGCTGCTTAGCAGCTTATGGAAACAATAAAAGTAGTATTATCTTCAGTGGTGAGGCAGATGGTTTGGATGATTGGTTTGACTTTTAAGCTGGATTTGAGCTACGGATATTCTGATTTTTAAGAATTTTTGGCTGGTCAGACTCTGGCGGCGTAATCCCCAGATTCCTGCTCCCATAAATCCACTCCTCTCTGTGCTGGGGGCTCTGGGATGGACACCTGCCCTGGGAGGGGCCTTCAGACACCTGCAGGTGAGGGGGGCACCCAGACCCCCCCACCTGGGCTGGCAGCCACCAAGAGCCACCCTTGTCCCCCCGACCTTAGGGGGACAATCCCCTCTCTGCTCCCATCCTGCGTGGGCAGCTCTGCAAATCCAGGGCTGGCAGGAGCCCAGGCCTGAGCTTCTCCCCGCAACGTTGTCTTTTGCAGAAGGATTTGTTTACTTTTTCTCCTAATTATCAGGAGCTGTGGACTTCCTGCCACCATCTGAGGGCTGGTAGCAGCCCTCAGTGCTCCTTCTCCTGACAGAGCCTGTTCCTGCTGTCACCCCCGCAGCTGGTGTCAGTGTGCAGTGCTCAGAGATGACATCCTGCCCAGCAGGACGTGGCCAGGGGTCTTCTCCATTCCATCCCTCCTGCAGCAGGGACCCCCAGCCCCCCAGGAATCCCTCCAGGGCTGAGGGATCTGCCTCACTCCAGGACCCCCAAGCAGCCCCTGGGGTTGCCCTGTAGCCAGGGCTTTGGGAAAGAAGGGATTTGGGAATGAAATCAGTGGGGTTGGGGAAGGCTCCTGTTGGGGCAGCTCCAGACAAATAAAATCCATGTCTGGGGGCTCGTGGTTAACCCTTTGCTGAGGGACATGCAGCAGTGCCTCAGGTGATGAATTACCTGCCCCAAACCCTGCAGCTGCCCCACCTGAGAAGAGCCATCACATCCAGAACATCCTGTGTGTTAGAATGGTTTTTATTTAGCAGATCTCCAGAGCATGAAAATAAAACTCCCATAAAACAAGGGTCATCTTTGTGTGTACATTGAAATCATAAACTGAGAAAAGGAGGAAGACTTCTACAGAGGTCAAAGGTCACCCAAAACATCCCTTCAAGAGAAATATCAGTTTTCTGCTCCCACTGTGAGCTCCAGTGCTGGTCAGCAGCCACCGGTGAAGCAGAGGAGAGGGTGGGAAGGAGGGATGGGGATGAGGGGTCTGGGAAATCTTTACCCAGCTTCCTTCAGTCCTGAACCCAAAACTGCACCCGGATCATGAAACACCAGGAGGAAAAAACCTATTGTGAAACAGCAGGGGTGATTTTCGGTCTGTTTGTGAGAGGCAGAGGGAGGTGAGCCCGGCAAGGGCGGGTCCCACGGAGGTGCCAGCAGGGATGGCGAGGGGACCCGGCTGCCAGCTCGGTGCCCGATCCCAGCAGCCTTTCCCCTGCCGGCTCCCGCGGGGCCTGGCAAAGCTCTGACAGAGCTGCCAGGCTTATCTTTAGCTCTGTTCCCTCCCTCGCCCCCGCGCCCACCTCCTCGCCGCGCTCCGCGTCCCGGCCCCCGCCAAAACACGCGTTATATAAGCGCTCCAGAACCATCTGGGGCTGAGTCAGCCACGAACCCAAACGGACAGCAAGCCCCCGAGGCGGGGATGCCGACCCACGGAGAACGGGGTTTTGGGGGGCATCCCCCCGCCGGTGCCAGCCCTGAGGGTCCGGGACCCCCGGCCCGGAGCAGGGATGGGGACAGCGAGGAGAGCCCCGGCCTGGGGGCCCGAGTGGTGCTGGGGGTCGTCAGGCAAAGAGGGGAAGGTTTAATTACACACTAATGAGGTGTTTCCAAAATAAATGTGCCAGCTGCAGGGGAAGAGGAGAGGGAGTGTCGGCTGGCTGGGGAAGGGATGCTGATCTGTCTGCTTGAGCACATCCTCTCCATCCTGATATCCCACGGGAAACCCTTCTCACTTCTCCCCTTAAATCAGCACCACCGAACCCGGTGTGATTCCAGATTTATTCATTTGGGGTTTCCCCCCAAAGCCCAGGGTCAAGACAGGAGATGTCCTTCACCTCCGTTGTAAAAATCACTGTATTTCCCTGTGAGCAACACCTCAGGAGCGTTTGTGACCTGAACTTTGCAGTGTTGTGCTGATTCACAATGGCTTGTCACAAAAAAAACTGCCTAAAAGTGACAGAAAAAGGGACGCTGACTCATGTGTTTGCCTTCCCCGAGTGAGGAGAAATGTGAAAGGTGAACAAAGTACTTAGCGGGTGATAATTACATTCTGCACTGAAAAAAAGCCAATCCATATTAATAAGCTGGAGTGTTATTGCTAGTAGAGGCATTTTACAATTAAAAAAAATTAAAGTATTTGAGGTTTTTAACCTTGACAGTGACCTGTTAACAACAAGTGTAAGGAAACCCCTAATTTTGTCCCACTCACAATTACAAATCTGTGTTAAGGAGAAATTCCAGCTGCTGCCTTCCTGGACTCCCTGCAGGGTGCTGGAGGCTGGTTCCCTGGCTGGATCCTGGTTTTAGTGGGATGAAACCTGGTGTGGGATGGAGTGGAAGAGCTGGCCCCTCTGGCACAGCTCTTGGTATTGCCTTTATGGAGGGGGAGAAAGGAGTTGGAGAGGGTCCACCTTAATGTAGGATGAAAAAGCAAATTGCCAGCAGGAGAGCAGAGATGCTGCTCCGTTACTATGGTTACCCCCAGAGATAACCCAGCATCCCTGGGTATCCATGAGGTACCCGAGCTCCTCCTGGACACCTGGAACAGCCCTGGGGCAACTCGGTGGGCAAGGGACCAAATCTGAAGGGTCTGTAGGGTCTGAGGCTCTTGGAGAGCTTGGAGAGAGGATGAATGCAGTATGGATGGAGAAGCAGCATCTCCAATAGGGCCAGGGCAAAGTTCTTTGCCTTCATCCCTCTGAGGTGAGGTGCTGGTGGGAATGCAGAGTTCCCAGCCCCTCTGCCCACCCTCTGCCTCTTGATGACAGACTGGCTCAGCCAGATTTCAGTGGGTTTGAGCCAAACCCATGCAAGCTGATGATGATGCTTTTGGGGAGGCCAAAAACCTCTGCAAGGGCACAGAGAGATGCTCTGATCCCCTGAATCCTAAGGGAGAGAGGCAGAAGGGCAGTCAGTGAGGGATGGTGCAATGCTGATTTCGTAGAGGGTTAAAGACATCTTGAATATTAGAAGTGGAGGTTGCCAGCTAAGAAACAGCCCCAGACTCATTACACTGGTGCCCATCCCTGCTGAAATCTTCCCAGCCAGGCCTGAGAGGTGAAAGCAAGGTCATTCCCCTCAGAGGCACCCACTGCCTTCCCATCCCTGCTTCTCCCACCCCCCCAGTTCAGCTCCCAAAGGTGAGGACGGTTGGATTGGAAACAAAGCAAGGACCGAACACCCCGGCAGCGCCTTTCCCGTGGCGCCAGCACCAGCTCGGCTCCCTGGGGATTTCTGTACAAGCAGCCACCGAGGGAGGAATTCTGGAGGCAGTGGGAACCGTCCCCAGGGAGCTGCCGGCTCCTGAATCATTAAACGTTTCCACAAACGGAGCGCTGGGTTTGCAGTGCAAGCGGCTGTGAGGAGTCACTGCCGCATGGCACGGGAGCCGTGGGAAGCTGCTGCACGGGCTCTGCGTGTCCCCAGCTGAGAGGCTGCCAGGGCTCTGCCACAGCATCCCCCACCTCCTCCCTGGCATTTTCCTTCCCGAGAGCCAGTTTGGAGTAGAGTTTTTCCCATCTCTTTTCCTGTCTGCCTCTAACAGGCCATTATCATCCCCGAGAACCCCCCGCTCCTCTCTTCAGCAAGAGAAAAGCTTCCAGAAAAGCATCTGGTCCAGATTTAAAGGCATTAAGAGACAGAGATTGGTGGCTTGTTCTAATAGCTAATCATTATTAAAAGATCGCTCCTTATTTCCAAGACAGATTTGTCTGGCTCCAGCTTCCAGGAAGAGGTGGTTATTATGCCTCTCCCTGCTAGATTAAGTTACCTCTGGGTACCAGTGTGTCCTCCCCGTGACAAATGCTGTAATCAAGTCACCTCTCAGTCTCCCCCTTTGCTAAATTAAACGGGCTTTGCTCTTAAATCTTGCTTAGCCCCAGCCCTCTCTGTGATGATTAGAGTGAGTGCCTGGCGGTTGTTGGGTTTTTTTTTGTTTGTTTTGTTTTTTTTTTTAATGAGTAAAAAACTTCCTTGTGGTGAAAGGGATGGAGCCAATGGGACCCAACAGACCATTAGTGGTGGGTGGAAATGATCAGCCAGCGGTTGCCTGAACTGGATTCAGCCTGTGCCCAGCCTGAGGAACGATGATGGATAATTTCCCCAGGATGTCCCAGCACACGAGCCCCGTTCCCTGTGGCAGCCAGGTATGAAAATCCAGGATGGCAAATCCAGGGGCTCTGTGTCCACCAGGCCATTAACCTCTCTGTAAATAGCGTCTCACACTCTGTCTCCGCTTTCCTCCAGCCGTGACCATTAAAGACATCCAAACTGTCACTTGGACGTGGCGTGATGTCCCCTGAGGTCCCCACAGGAGGCAGTGCCTGTAGGAAACAGATCCCCCAGGCCCCAGGGGGACCAAGGTCGCTCGGGGAAGATTTGTTGGCTCGGTTTTGGATGGTTAGGCTCGTTCTGCCTGACACATTTTCCCATCTCCGGGCTCCCTGCATGGCTGCACTCTGTTCCTGTGGGCAGAGCCACTGGAGCGAGTGGCACCCAGGGAGGGGCTGTGTTTGGGGGCCTCTGAAGAGCCTCCCCCTGGTTCTAAGTATTCCTGCAGCAGAGAGGAAAATTATCCTCCCAAGAAAAAATCAGATGTGTGCTTTCTGCTCCTGCCTAAAGGCAGAAGGATGGATATTTGCTAAAAGGCTCTTAAAAATAATCTCTCTTTGTCGTGCTGGCCCCAGTCTTGCTCAAAGTTTGCTCCACATATCCTGTGTGTGTGACAACTGACAGACTTGGAAACACGTTGGAAGTTGGCTACAGGCAGACACTTCACTATGATCTTTAAAATATACAGCATGACGCGAGGTATTTTAAATAGATCAAAATACATTTATTACATATTTATATTATTTTCTCTAGTCTATTTATATCTTTTGGAGACTCTTATATATAATATATATAATATATTTAAAATAACATAAAATTGGCCAGTTTTGTCATCTGAAATACATTTTACAAATATATATATACATTGTCACATATATCTCAAATATATGTGCAATGAGACAGAGAAACACCAGAGGTGGAAAAGGTACAGATACTTCATTGCATCCCTCAGCTTCTCTACCACCATTGCCCCAGCGAGCAGACTCAGCATTTCATCCCTGCCAGACCAGTGCTCCCAGTTGCCAACCTGCCCTGTGAACTGGTGCCAGGTCTCTGTCCCCAAACCCAGGTGGGGCCAGGCCTGGGGGAGCACTGGGGTGTGTTTGGGGGGAGATGGAGGGGAGAAGGTGCCCTGGCAGTGGGCAGCAGGACAGATGTGCACAGCTGGTGGCCCAGGGGGTGAGTGGCATGGGGTTGGGCGCTGTCCCATGTCCTGTCCCTGCTCCTGATGCATCTGGATCCTGCCCTGAGCCAACCCCCCCGTGGCAGCATTCCTGAATTGGGGGGTGGGAGAGCAGGATGTGGCCGGAGTGCTGGACACGGCCACAGCTGCCACACGCTCGTTTCTGTGTGCAAGAAATGGGAGGGGGACACACACACACACATACACACACAGGGGACTCTTTTGGTTGTCAGCACGAGAGGAAAGGGAAGAGCAGTAGGGTTTAAAAATAAACGTATTTGTTCTGCCTTATTAAAGATAGAAAAGGTGGCTCTGAAATCATCTCCTACAAAAGGTTTGAAGGTCAAGCAGGCACCGAATCGCGAAAGGTTGAGCGCTAAGTGATTGTCCCAGCCCTAAAAGACAAAGTGCACTAAATTCGGTGATGAGAAGCTAAGGCTCGTCCCCGATGGCCCCCCCGGCCGAGGGAGGACCCCCAGGGCACGGGATGCTCTTCCCAGAGGTGGATTTGGGGCACAGCGATGCTTTCTGCCCTCACTGGGGAGATTTTTAGGGTCACAGTGGAGCAGCAGCAGATGCAGCCCCGACCCCCGGCCTGGGGAGCTGCTGCTGTGAGCCCCTGCCCAGGGCAATCCCTGCGGGATGCTGCCCAGAGGATCAGCAGCTCTCTCCTTCCTCGGACTCCTGCCATCCTCCAAGCATCAAGTGTAACTCCAGGGGTGGAGCTGGCTTGCTGGAGGAAATGGCCGGTGGCTGTTTTTTGTGGGGGGGACATTTCACCTTGCTCGTCTCCAAACCCCTTCCCACAGGGATTCCACTCCACAAAAACCCACGCCCCCAAAGCATCCCTGTGCCTTCCCAGCCCCCTAAGGAAACCCAAGTGCTGAACTTGGGCTTTCCCCACCTTTTTTCTGTTTCATTTTTTTTCTTTTTACCCCTTTCTTTGACAATTGATGGGATTTCAGTTTGGCTGGGCAGCCTTCCCCATGCTCCCTGGTGGCAGGAAAAAAGACCAGGAGCTCTGAGCTCTCACAGGTAGGCAAAAATAATATTTATACACTATGTACCGGCGTGGTCCATGGTCAGGACAAGGACTATACAGTAGATATAGGACATCTCACCAGAGCTAGACCCTCACTAGCAGGGTTTGGGGCAGGGGGTGTGTGAACAGGGGCCATGGAAGGTCCGAAATCCCCTCACTGTGCCAGCCACAGGTGCTCCCTGTCCCAGTTCACATCCTCCTACACAGCAGTTTAAAAATACATCTGTATATATTATTCTATTCTCCCAGGTAACACTGTACAATCATAGAAGTTTCTTTAAAAGCAATAATTTACTTAAAGACATCTCTATTTCTCTTTCGTTTTTATACAAATATTTACTGTGATATATATATATATATATATATATTTATAAAGAAGTTAACCCTCTGAGAACTCTACAGCAGCAAGATGTGCACCTTTTATTTTTTTAATAATTATTATTTATTCAAAAGAACCTAAAACCACTTAAAAGCATTTGTTTTAAAAAAATAAATAAGTAGTGCTCACACAAAATCTCTCTGCCCCCCCCATCCA